AGAGACAGACAGAGATTTCTTGCTTTATAGATAGATATTTGAATGAAATAAACAGTACAGACCTCTGACCTGTATCTGTCCTGTCCTCCGTATTTTGGAGCTATTGTCGGTAGAATTGTACAAAATGTTACACACACATGCAATGTAGCTTTATGTACAACATTCCCAAATTTGTTTGCAATCCAATTCAGCATTTAAGAATTATGGCCTGTTATGTGCATTATTACTCTTTCAAAAGTTAGGTACAGACAAATATAAATCTTGTTTGGCTTCATCTAAATATGTTATGCACTGATCTCGGTGAAGATCAGATAAAAGTTTTGCAGAAAGAAGCAAAAAAAAATTAATAATTCAAAAATTCAAAATGCTGGAATGTTTTTAAGGCACAAATGGGTGTGGCCAATATTAGTTAATCCAATGAACTAGTGTACATAAATGTTTCTTTTACTCCAAATGGTTCATTAGTTATTACCAAAAATGTCAAATGCTTAATAACCGACCACATGCTGGTCCTATTGTTCTGAAGAAAAATTGTATTAACAAATATTTTGGTGATGTTTGATCAAACATTTGGCAAGATCAAAACCATTGTGTGTACAGCACTAATAAGACATTTATAGTGACTGCGGACCCATCATTAGACAAATCTCAGCACTGTCTGAAACATCTAGTATCCAAAGACTCTGAGGATTTTGGTAGCATTTGACTGAAGACTTGAATCTAGAGTGATGGACTTTGGAATAGACCGTAGGTTCCTCTACAGGAAGGGCCAAAGCCGTCTCCATTTTCTGAGGCGGCTGAGGTCCTTGGCTCTGTGGCCATCAAACTCTTTAACCCCTCCCTCAGAGTGTAACAACTCTGAGTCATTAGTCATTCAAACTGCTGCTTGCAATGTCTCTGGTTAATGTGCAGTAAATTCGTTAAGGAGCAATACGTGGTCATTGTGGAATAACCTGGATTATTAAGCCATTCTTTGTTTCCATTTTTTACCTATAGGTAAATACCTATACATACATTTCTATTCTATATATATTGTGTTAGATTGTAAAATAACACAACAAATAACATTCATTAACATTAGGTCCTGTCAGCATGTCGGAGATTTGAATAATCTATTAAACTGCTGTGCCTCGTGTCTAAATGCGCACAGCTTCTCTCTGAATGGGGGGAAACCCTCAATCCAATCGATACTAATCAGAATATCCTTATTTTTATAACCAGCCCGTCAACTGCACTCTGCTCATCACTATAATGCAGGTTGTTCTTAAAGAGTAACTTACTGTTCACAAACTCCACCAACTGTCTCTACAGCTGTTAAAGCCGACTGACAGCGGTCAGATCAGATCATCAGCTGTTGCTTCAGAGGAAACGAGGTCTCAATTCTCTAAAAGCACATTTCCTCCTTATTTACTTGTTTCCTTGCGTCTGTTCATGCATGGAAAACACACCCAGTCAGATGTTGGGTTATCTAATGTTAGCGAAACACTAGCTAACTAACAATTAAGTAAGTAAATGAGCTAGTTAGCACATTGCTAGGCCATGGCTATATTGACCTGTGTTTATTTGAGACAGTGTGTGGAGTGGGAGCCTGTAGGTCGCCTGCAGTGACAGAAACCCAACTGCAGCAGCTCTGTTAGGCTTCCAAACCTTTCGTGCTAGTTTTCCTAAGTAGTATACTTGTCCTTGTTGTAGATAGTTGTAACTGCCATCTTTAGGGATCCAGGTTTAGTAAATGTATTTTGTTATATTTTAGGTAGGTAGGTTGAGTCAATTCTTTGAGGAGATAAAACCTGTTGTGATTATCATTTTTGGCCTTGGCCTCAAATATCTTGTTTTGTCCACAACCCAAATATATTCAGTTTACTGTCATAGAGAAACCAGAAAATATTCACATTTTGAGAAGCTAAAATTAAAGAATTTGGCATTTTTTTACTAATTGATAAATCGACTAATCCTTCTAGCTCTACTGTAGGGTCTACAATGTCTTACCAGATATCGGCAAGACAACAATAGAACATTTAAAAAGGAGGACACCGCTGTGTGTGTTGTAGGAGTTTGGTTTAATATTGTACTGAAAAATAAATTAACGAAAATAACTTTAAAATGCAACAAAAGACAAAAAAGGGGAAAAGAAGATCCAGATTATAAACATTCTTTGCCAGCAGGGGGTGGAATCGCAGTGCTCATGTCAGACTAAATTTACAAATATATATATAAAAAAGGAATTTATTAGACATATCCACAAATCACGAAAGCATTCCTTTACATCCAGTGAGCTGAATCTGGTCTACCACCCAAACCGTTGTTCTTCCAGCTACAAAAAGGTCTAGAAAATTTATATTTATATATGTATATATTTCATACACATGCCCTATGTGTGGATGAGGCTGTAAAAAACTAAACTGTACAAAAACAAAAAGCACACAGTGGTGATGTTGTGGATGGAATGATGATTAAAAGAAAGAAAATATGACTCTGCAAAACGACAACTTGATGGCGTCCGACCCCCAAACGGCAGTCGACGTTTGGAATGAACCTTTCATTCGTCCGATTCTCGGATTTTGGCTTTAAAAACGGAAAGCGGAGTGTTAGTAGTGTGTGACATGATTCTTAGTGTTTTACTAAACGGCTTCTGGTGCTTTAAAAACAGGAGGAGGTGGTTCAGTCTTCAGATTTGTCAAGATGAAGAGGAGGAGGAGGAATCCAGGAGAAGGAATAACACTTGAGTTAAATAATTAAATATTATCTACAGGTCTCAGTCAAACTGGACGAAAACATTAAAAAGCTTCATTTGTCAGGCAGTCAGATCAAGAGGACTGCGGATCATCATCACGAACTACCAGGTTAAATATGGAAAGACGTCTCATGTCCCTAAATAATAACGGAGACAGTTAAAGACTTTAAGGAGTAGTTCGACATTTTGGTGAATACGTGCATTTACTTTTTTGGAAATTTGAGATCAACATCAACCTCATGTGCATTAAATACACAGCTGGAGCCGTGGTGGAAGGATACACTGTTTGTCAAGAAATAGTTCCTAAGTCCCCGACTCAAGCTCTGCACTTCAAAATGATTTAAAGTAAATGAAGTCAATACTGAAGTCATGATTTCGTCATTACTGAGAATTACAAAATAACAATAAAATAATCAAGTCGTGATCTGGTCTAAAATTAACCAACTACACACATTTCTGTTGGTCAGCACCACATCTGTCTGTAAGTCCGTCCACTCAGCGTGTGACCAACTGACATTTCGATGGCGACTTCAGGGCTCAGAGGGTTTTGGGGAAATTCAGCTCATCACACTCACACTTCTACTTCCCCAGACAAACTCATGGAAACCTGGTTTGGAACCGTAAAGGCCTTTGCACACCAAGTTACTTCATTAAAACATTTTGCTGGACTTTGTGAAGACCAACAAGTCTAAGACAAGAGGAAAAGTCTTGAGTCCAGTCTACACCACTGCATGATGACTGTCTCGTATTGTGAATTTTAAAACGAAGCGTATCGGACTCTGTGGGTAACAATTTCTATTGGATGACGGATTTAAAAAACGCATACGTAACTTGGTGTGCAAAGGCCTTAACTGTCTGCAGGAGAACGTTTAGAGAACTTCTCGATTATTCGATTCCTGCATATTTATTCACGATTGGTGGATTTAAATAAAGCAATAAACATGTCGAGTTGAGCTCAGTCTTCTGCTGTGGTTTCTTAGTCAAGTTGGAATCACGATCAACGTCATCCAAAGCCATGCTAGCACTTGAGCAAAATCCTTGAGTGACTGGAAATGATGCTCGAGGTTACCTACAGCATCAGAGTTTGAAGCGTAGTTAACCTTATGTGATGAGCTGGGAGCGAGAACGTGTGCGTTCCCTTCACTCCAGGAAGAGCTGTGTGAATATTTGAATATATGTGAATATTTACCACAGATTTGTGGTGGAGAATGAATCTCAACGCTTAAGCATGTATTTGTTGTTTCCTCCAATTTCCAGACAGATCTGTAGAGTTTTTGATTCAGACATTAAGATAAAACGAGATCAACCTGCGCAGGAATGTAGAAACACAAATGTGACTTTATGATTCTGGGATTTCCCTGAAACCGAGCTGTTCCCAGAAGTCTTAAACACCTTGTCAGTCCGCTCAGTCAGAGAGTCTTTAAGAGTAAAGCTGTAAACTTTGGTTGTGACTCCTCCTCGTGACGCCGCCCAGCGACAGAAACGAACCTGACGGAGACGACAGGATGGAGGAGAGGAGGGAAACCGTGAGGAGGGTCAGTGGTCATGCTCTTCATTCATACATTCACATAGATGGGAATCATTAATGTCGAGTTGTCGTCGTCCTACAGGTGAACACATACCTGGGATGACACTCAGTGATAGAATAATGGACCCTCCCACCAATAAATACCTATACCCCGCCCACTGACAAATAATAAAATACATCACACTGCTTCGTCCGGGTCTACAGCGAGTCCTTAAACCTACCGCCAGCACGGCGAGGAACCATTATCTACAGTCAGGGAACAAAAACAGATTTACACATTTCAAACCGTCCTAAAAACGCCGTTTGAAAACTCAGCAGAGGGAGAGGGAGAGGGGGGTACGTATGACTGCTGCTAGTTTTTCTTCTTGACGTTGTTGTTCGAGGCGAGCCGTGGTCGCGGCGCTGGGATGAGGCTTCCCAACGGGACTCGACTCCGGGCCACTTCGAAGAGTTTGGAGAAAACCTGGAGGAAGAGGACAAGGAGGTGGTCAGATGAAAGTGTGTGAACATACTGAAATGTTTCTGCTCACGTTCAGGAAGCTGCAGCTGATGTCACAACTGCACCAAACACAACAACCTACACAGCCAATCAGAACGTTTGGAGGGGTTGCGCTCACCTTTCGAGGAGTCCTCTGGAGGCATTGAGAGAGGAAATAAAGAGGAAGGGTTAGAGGAAGACGAGGATGAAAAGGATGATGAGGATGGCGATTTCTGTTTGCGTTATGAAACGGTCAGACTGTCTAGAGTGTGTACCAGGAGTCAGATGGTCCAGTGTGTAGGATTTTACAAGCACGGGGGAGAAATTACAGTGGCCATGAAACACAAACATGGCAGTTCAACATGTAACAAAAGTGAATATTATATTCTGACAATAGACCCTCCTCAATGTTACACACCGGACCTTTAAGTAAACTGTTAGCTGTTCCTACTCATCAAGCTGCTGTTATAACAAAGTCAGATGAGATCAAAAGGAACGTATGAAACGGACTAATGTTGTAATATTGAGGGACAGTGAAGAGAACTGTGGCAATGTTAATATATATTAAGAAAGAACCCGTCCTCTCACCTGTTCCCAGAGGGTTTCAGCCACCTGGTCGATGACTCCTCCGACCTCGCGGAACTCTCCGGAGTACTTGACGTAAGCCCAGATGCAGAGCGCCGTGAGAGCCACGCCCATCACCAGGTTACACAGCGTGGCCACAGAGTTGATGCCCACGAAGCCCGTGACCAGCGACACCACGTACATGATGAACATGACGGCGAACAGCGTGGCGGGCGTTCGCGCGGCGTAGAAGATGTTCTTGCCATCGTTGTGCTTGCTGAAGTTGGCGTAGGCCTCGTCGAGCTCCGCCTCCAGCTGCTCCTGGTAGCGCCGGCAGAAGTCCTCGCCGCCCATCTTCTTGACGGAGCGGAAGTGTCGCACCGACGCCTGTTTCAGCTCTGTGTGACGGCGCTCCAGCTCAGTCGGGGACATGTAGGGTTTGTCTCCACCGCAGACCTGCCAACGCGACACACGACGAGTTAACACAAGGTCTTACTGAAACCAGAAAGTTAACTATATCAGGCAAATCCAGGAAGTGATGCGTTACCTGCTCCATGCTTTTGTTGTACAAGTCTTTGGCTCCTGCTACAGCTGCAAGGTTATTAGCTTCAGCTGTTGCCTTGGTAACAGATGACAAAACGTGTGTTCAACATTACTGATCTGATGGACACACTGCTGTTAATGTACATCTACTGTAGACACAGCATGTATAAACAACACTAAGACAAACATTCATAAATGTTTAAATGGTTTAAATAGAGCTCAGAGTGAGGCCGCACAATTAATCACAATCTTATCAAAATCTCAATATGGCTGAAGGCAATCTCCAGATGGAAGAATACGTGGTTGATACAGAGACCAAATTATTTTGTTCACTTCGTTTTTTAATGAAAATTACATTTGTGATGCAA